GATGACACTTCAAAGGATGGCTTTCAGGTTTTTGAGAAAAACACTCCTGGGTCCTAGGAGATACAATACTTCCCAAAGGGACAAAGGAAGCTTTTACAATTGTAAGCTTTTTTTAGTAAATGTGCTATGAAAGGGAGGTCAGGAGCCCATGGTCAGGTGTTGGGTGGAACAAATGGGAAATTCTTTTCACAGCCTTGACCTTTTCCACAGGGAAACTCAAGTGTGTGGGAGGACATCCCAGGGACACAGCCTTGGGCTGCTAAAAGCCATGGCAGAGTTTGGTCAAATCTGTTTGGGGTTTGGATGGATTCCTTCCAGCAGACAGTTTTCACAGCTCTAAGCAGACACTCCCTGCTGCCATGGAGAGGATATACAGTACAAAGTACAGCTTGCTCCAAATATATCCTCCTCGCAAAATTCTTTCAGCCCTTTCTTGTGTTCTTGACCTCACTGAAGGGTCTGCACGTCACTCCCTCTGTTCATAGGACTATGGGGAAGGGTCTGTCTCACACACACAATGGGATTCTGTATCTAGCTCGCTGACGCCTCAGTGGAAACGGCACACACAGCACAATTCCAACATCCTGTTACACTGGTAAACCGATGGCTCATTTCAAGAATTGAGCCACTGGGAGCTCAAAAGCCAAAAACCATGAACATCAGCCTCTTTTATTTCTCTATTTTGGTTGTAGTGTAGTCTCTCACTGCAGACAAAGTCTTACGTGAAATAAGATGGGTGATGAGGCAAAACAAAGATATCTCGGAGAAAGTAAGAAAAACACCTAAATCAATATGCTACATGTCATTCTAACAGACGGGGCTTTTGCATACCAAGCACCCAGCCCAGTATCTGACCCACAGGAAATGCTCAATAAATGAATGAATAAGTGGACCCTGTTTATGAGTAATGCAGTTCTTCTTTATGCTGAAATGCAATAAATCATTGAATATCTGAATATATTAGTTTATTTTAAAACAGCAGTTATAATTTGATTTGTTTCTTATGACATTTTGAAAATTCTAAAGTGTGTTAATTAGGAAATTACAGGATTCACCTGTAATCCTGCCACTCAGAAATCGTTAACATTTTATATGCATATATAAACATATATGTGTATCTATACATTTATATATCAAAATTTTAAACCCTGCAGAATTTCAGTTCATTAGAAATCTGAAAGAAAAATTTGCTGTATAGAAAGGTAATGGAATTTAATCAAGTGAGTTTCCTGAAGGATTTTCAAATTTTATTTTAAGTTATTAATTTCAGAGAAAATAACCATTTGGTCTTGGTTATAGTTTAGGATCCATTTCCTCAATCCAAGAAAAATTCCAGGCATTCCTCAGCCATCAGCAACAAAAGGGACAGTGTGAAGGAACAGTTCTCAACCAAATTTCACATTCTTGTGGCAACAGAGATCCAAACACTCACAGTTATTAAGTGAAAAGATATTTTTCTTTATTCCTTTACATAAAGGAGTCTTGCTTTATTTTTATTTCAATGTGATTTGGTACTGGGGACATAATTCTTTCATTTCAGGAATAATAAAAAAAAAAAACACACAGAGCCAACACTTTCCTTTTTAAAAGGAAAACACCAACAACAATAAAAACTCAACACCAATATTTAAAAGCTTTTCCAAAACGTTAAAGAGCGTTGAGGTTGTAACGTGCATAGAGGTACAGGTGCGGGCTAGGCTGATGCAGGAAGTGTGGTGCTTTCTGGAGATATCTGGGAAAAGTTGCCTCTATAGCTTCTTTTTTCTTCCCTGCAGGCTCTTGGCAATTGTGGGTTTAGGCGATGAGAGCTAATTTTTATTTCAAGCTAAAATAAAATCAAAATTAGAAAGGTAAATCTGATAGACACACACGCATTTTCTAAGTCAAACCATGTATTTCAAAGCCAAATATAAATACCTTTTAGATAATCAACCACATCTATGCTGGGCACCCACCTATTAGTGCCAATAAATTAAAGTTGAACAGATTTAAAAGAAAAAAAAAACACTATTACCTTGGTGTAGGGGGAAACTTTCCCTCTTTTGAGAATGTTGGCATAATAGAATTATAGGAGTGTCTGTTTGTTTTTCATTATCAAAGTGTCATGACAGTATGCCTTTGTAGTAAACTCAGATTTTCAGGAGGTTGTATAGTTGGATTTTTTTAAATGTAAGAAAAACAAGATGGTTTCCAATGTTGTTGAAAAATGATGGACTCTATTAAAAAGTGGAGAAAAAGAGATGATACATGTGGTCAAGGTTGACCACAAGGCCCAGACACAAGTACTTTGATGATAACTGTAGATTCATTACAGATTAGAGCTGACTTTTTGTTGTTGTTGTCGCTGATGCGGTGTGATTCAGACTTACTAGCCTAACCAGGAAGAGTGAGTAGAAATGGTAGGCGAAGAAGGGATAGAGCTGGTGGACCTATAACTTTCTGATATTTATCTGCACAACTGGAGAGATTAATAATTTTGTACTTTTAGCTAAGACCAAGTCACCTCTGAAACAACAGGAGATAGTAGTTTTAAAACAAGGCCACAGAAGTCCTTACTAAAGGAAGAATGGCACCCCAGTTGGTATAACTCTCATAAGATAATGACATTGGCTTTAAACATGGATGTCTCAATGCCTATTTTCTATCAATAATTTGTTTCTTTCCAAAGTGGGGAAGGGGAGAAGGGAGGGTTTGTTTGTTTTAGAAAGTCCCAGAATAATTATAAAATACCAGAATACTTAAAATATATAGGACCTCACATAGGTAATTACAAAACTTATCATGGAGGCTGATGGGCTATTGTGTGAGTCCCACAGGACCATAAAGGCTCATTGTTCTCAGTTACCAGAATGACTGTGACAGTCACATAGCTAGAGCCCAAACTTTCCTTAGAGGTTTTTGAATTAGGTTGATGGAATTAAACAGCTAATATCTTTCTAGTGGAGAAAGGTGTGTACATTGCTACAGGAATGTTCATTTCATGGAAGTCTTCCACTCTGCTCCATTCTTCTCAGCAGGCATTGCACACAGCATACACTTTGGTAGATAAGTTTGCCTAAAGCTTAGACAGTCTGTCAGCTTGGATGTATACAGGTTTAGATACGTATTTCAACATGTATTCTCATAGATTTCTTCACAGCAACACACATTACCTACTGGTGTCTAGACTGTGTACATGCAAGTATGTACAGACATGCTTAGTACGTATATACTGTAATTTGTTACAATAAATACATACATTTTAAGTCATCATTTAACATGTATATGGTACTTCTACAATATATATTGTTTTCATTATTTATTGTAACATTGAAAACCAAAGTGCAGGGAGAAAAAAGTATCCCAGCATCTTCATTGTGTACACATGGAATTACTTTCATTTGGGCACATCCAAGATAAACTCAACTTTCGAGAAACCTTGTATGTTGTTTAATCATCTGTGTTAGAATGACATCTATGCTTGACAACTTCGGTTAAATAGCTTTATTCTGGATCTCTCATAACTAAAGCTAAATCCAAAGACCTGAAAAAGGACAAAAAGAAAAAAAAGAAAGAAAGAAAGAAAAGAAAAGAAAAAAAGAAAAAAGAAAGAAAAAGAAAAAAATAGCAAAGTAAAACGCAAACCAATGGGGAGAAGGTGGGCTCTGGTTTCCAGGGTTGGGACGGTACTGCTGTGGTCTTGCGGAGGCTGCGCTGGCCGGCTGGGGGAGGGGTGGTTTTTTTTTTTTTTTTCATTCTTGTCACATCTAAATGGTCTTTAACATGAGAAAGCTTTAGAGATTATAATTTTCTGCTTTATTTTCATTGAAACTGTGGAAAGAGGTTATACATTTTGTCAGTTAAAAAATGAAGGCACCCTCCCCCAAAATATTCTTTTTATCTTATCTCTTTGGGTTATGGCCCAACATGCTGAGTATCTTTAATGTAATTAATTTATTTAAATTAGTTTCTAGTACACAAATGTATAGCATTTGGGCAAGTATTTAATCGTCCTTTCTTAGTTTGATTTGACCCCTTGTACTTATTTATCAAAACCTAGACCAATGTTGCATCAGAGATGCAAAATGCTATTTAGAATTCTCTCGAAGTTTAGTTTGCTTTATAAAGCAGTGAAATTCTGTTACAGACAGGGAAGAAATACAGGTTACAACAAAAGAATTTGGGGTATTTTTCCTTCTTGAATTAACTTTTAAAGTAGTTTGAGTAACAATGGTTAACTTATTTAATTTAAGTTCGCAGCCCCACCTGGTACCAGGCGAACTTCATCTCTTAATTATATCGTGGCCCTCGGAGGCTTCATATTGTAACTTATTTATTTAACTTATTCAGCATCTGTGACAGGTGCACTGTATAGTTTATGTTTTTTATTTAAAACAACAGAGAGCACTACAGTTTGTTTGCTGTCAGAACAACAGAGCAAATTTTGTGGACGAGCAATGACTATTCAACCTGAACCTGTGCACTCAGAAAACATAAGCCGAGACCCTGCTTCACCAGCCTGGATTTCGGGGCTTCTATACAGAAACTGGAAACATAAATTTTTAAAAAAAAAAATCATAAACAAAAAGAGAGAAACCCTTACATTAGCTGCTTCCAAGAATGAACTCTGTGTGTGTGTAAAGCAACAAAACAAAAAAGGAAAAAAAAAAAAAAAGCAGAAAAAGGAAAAACTTTCTATTCCTAGTGAGAACCAAAGAAGGCTACCTCACTGACTTTTTCCATTTGTAATTTTAATCGTGTTGATGACACCAAAGATACCAAAGATTTCTTTCTCTGTGCGGTCTGCATTTTGCTTGTGCTCTTTTATAATTTGAACTATTCTCTCTGACATATGGTATGTACAGCCACAGCTCAGATACCCC